CTGAAGTGATACACTTCAGTAGTGTATTTATTCTCTTCCAATATGACACTCTCCCTCACGAGGCTCCCCTCCTTGCCCTCACTTGACTTATTTCTACACTCCTAGTTGCTATGATTGGGCGCATTTTGAGCTTGGTGTGGTATGAGCTACCAAATAGCAATAGTTGTTCATAACAATGGTGTTATTAGAATACCACTCCCTACAGTTTAACCATCACTAGTTGATCATCATGCCATTGATCTCCATCGGCATCAACATCCCCACTACTCCATCGGCGTCCTCGCCATCCTTATCTCTTCAGGACTGCTGCCTTCGAGCTCCTCAATCATCAGCATATTCCCACCACTGTTGTCATCAATGAGGCCAACTCCCTCGCCAAGGAGTTCTGTCCTCGCTCCCAAACTCTAGTACATGCTAGTGTTAATAGGATGATCGAAACACAGTACAGTGTTGGTCATCAACTACGCGAGGCTATGGTGGCAGGTGAGCCTCTCATGAAACTCCATTCTTCTATCACCCCTACAGTGTTGGAATATATGACTGCTGAGCTCAGGAGTTTCCAAAGCTAATTATAGAAGTTAATATACGAATTCGGGTATAAATGTACAAGAACTGATATGGATTTCCAAAAATTTTCTCAGAATTCTCATACATATTCACCAACACATGTAGTTGACCATGTGCATATTTTCCCACATTTATACTCAGGTGATATGAGGAACAGCTCCAAGCCATCGTCGTCGCCAACAGAAACGCCCGGCAGCAGCACGACTAATCCTGTTACTGCCCAACAGCTGAATAACATGGACCCAGCGACTCAGCTGGCTCTACTACTCATCGAGAAGGTGAGAGCTGGTTGTTGTGAAATGCTCTTACCAGGAATCGAACCCACGACCACTTTTTAATAGACTTGCTCGTTTGGCAGGAACGTAAAAAGAAGGAACGCAGGGATCGCAAGAGGAAACACCGCAGAAGGCATCACCGTAACAGATCTCGGTCGAGGTCTAGCCGGTCCCGCAGTAGTAGCACCAGCAGTGACTCCAGAGGGAGGTCTCCATCACGGTAATAGACCTATAACATAATGCGCTCCCCTACCTCACTTTTGTAGGCCTACCAATTTCGCCAATATGGTGCCTCCAACACACCCGGACTACCGCCCAGCCAGGATTGAATATCAGCCCATCGATCCATCACAGCACGTCCTCCCACCGACAGCATCACCCTCCCCTCTGGTGAGGCGCTACTGGCCGCTGCTCTCAATAGGACTCCCCCTGTTTTTTACAGTCATCCTCGGGCACTTCGAGCGTGTTAAGCGGTGGTGGTGGTATTGTGAACCCTCCACATAGAGGCGCTGATGCTCCTGAGGAGATCGTTGATCCCAGCGACTTTGTCAAGGCTGGCCAGCGGGCTGCTGCTATGCTTATGACCCAAGGTAGGCTACTACTACTACTACTACTACTACTACTACTACTACTACTACTACTACTACTACTACTACTACTACTACTACTACTACTACTACTACTCACTACTACTACCACTACTACTACTACCACTACTACTACTACTACTACTACTACTACTACTACTACTACTACTACTACTACTACTTGCGTTGATGGTAATCGTTGACCAGGTATGGGTGCGCGACCGAAGCCGATCGTGTCCGGTCCTATCAAGACTATACCTCAGCGTAGGGTGGAGCTATGTAATGCGGAGTGCCAAACGACAGCACGACCAGATCTTGATAAAGATGCTGTTATCTGGCGACTACGACCTAGAAGTGTCGCTTGAAGAGGCGGTGCTACACCTCCATCATTATAACCATTGTCACCATAGTAGCTTATGCGGCGAACAGTCTTGAGTTCGCAGTAATGGGAGAGTTCACAGCAACGTGGGGTGATTCCCTCACCTTATCGAGGGGTCGAGCGCTAGGCTCTCCTGTTCAGTGACGTATTAGAAGTACTGTTATTGAGCTCGGCAATGCGGTGATAGAATGTTGGAAATACGAAGGACTGC